ATATTAGTGAAAATATTAGTATTCCATGCTAAGAACAATGATAATTATACCGTGCCCCCTTAAGAGCGCCCACCTAAAAAGTGTGTACCAGTGAACGTGTTAATTTAGGGCCATCCTAGCTCGGGTTCCTCCTAATGCAGAGACTGACCTAGCTCGGATCCACCGAGTTAGCACCCTGACAACTTGGCCTCCGCAGCTCCGTGCCCCGCAACTCGGTCCCGGAGAAAGCGAAACAGATTCGAATTTTCACGGAGGTGTGGAAAACACACATAAGGCGAAGGCCCGTGTTGCGGTTTACGGTCCAGTCAACTAAATACGGTCCGACTGACCAGCGATCTTGGCGGTGGTGTACGTTGGTCTTCAACGGAGCGATCACGTTGACTCTAACCAGGTTTTGGTCGATCCCCGGACGTGTGTAATCCCGTCTACACGAGTTCCGCCGCGGTTCACGTTAATCTTAATGGATTAATTTCTTAATTGGTTGCCGAGGTATAATTGAAATGTACCTGGAGAAGAGCGCGAGGGTAGGGGCGAGGTTCTGTGATGAAACTCCGCAACTGCGGAACTCTCTCGGAGTCTCCGTCCGATCCCCGCCCCGGCCCCCGGTTACCTGGGTCTGGATCGGGACGAGTTCGGAACAATGTTTGCGCGAAGCGTGTCGCCTCCGCGCCCGGGAAAAGTTCATCGGTAGATACCTGGAGCCGTAGTTCCGCAGCCTTTGTTACACTTTCTGCATTCCGCGAGGATTTAAGATAAGGAAAACGCGGCCGGGCGCTTTGTTCCGCGAAAGCGGCACCAAGTTTGCTGATTGCGCGGCTAGGCTCGCCGGGAACACTGNCTCTCTCTCTCTCTCTCTCTCTCTCTCTCTCTCTCTCTGTCCCTCTCGCTCTCCCTTTTTCTCTTATTCTTTCTTTCTCTCTCTCTTTCTCTTTCACTTCCTCACTTTTCTCTCGTTCTCCCTGTCTCTGTGTCTCCGTCTCTCTCTCTCCCTCCCTTTCTCTCTCTTTCTCTCTCTTTCCCTATTTCCCTCTCTTCTTTTCTCTTCCGCTTGCTGTTTAACGTTAAGAAAAATTCGCAGTAACTTCACGGAGCACTTCACTTTTCCGATGCTACCCCCCTCTCCACTTTGTTATCTCGCTTGGGCACAATATCGAGATCGCTGTTTCGTTCTCCCGGATGTGCTCGCCGGCTATCCGACTTCAAGCTGGCTTCGAAATTCTTCTTCCGTAAACCGCGGAACTTCGCCTCCGCTCTTCTCTCGATTCGCGACGCGACAATCGATCTCGCGTGTATTCGACGCGGCGCACAATGTTGCGATAAATGGCCAACTCTAGGTGGACGAAACTCGTAACTTGATTTCCTGGGAAGCGGATGGTCGTCACGCGATGCAACGTTTTTACACTGGGAACATTAACGTTTCTGTGCCGGCGTTGCTCCTGAAGTCGCTTACTTCAACGCAAATTAATTAATTATTTAATTACTCGCTGCGTTATGTTTCTCGAGGCTATTTGTACAAGTTCCGATTTAAGATTAACATCAACTGATATTGTTTAACTAAATTTTGTACTTATTTTTTCATACCTTTAGATGGATTTTTGTATCGCAAAATAGCAGCGAGTACACGTTCGATTGCTCCAATTCATTATCTTCTTTAACAGAATTTAAAAAAATTTGAACAATAAGTAGAGCACATTGTGCTACAGAGTGTACTATTTAACAACAAAGAATTGTTTAAAAAGAATGACCAAGTGCACTGCAACGCCATGATGATCACGAGTGACCATTAGCGAAATTAATACACTGTTGATGGGAATATCATTTTATTTTATCATATTAGTGAAAATATTAGTATTCCATGCTAAGAACAATGATAATTATACCGTGCCCCCTTAAGAGCGCCCACCTAAAAAGTGTGTACCAGTGAACGTGTTAATTTAGGGCCATCCTAGCTCGGGTTCCTCCTAATGCAGAGACTGACCTAGCTCGGATCCACCGAGTTAGCACCCTGACAACTTGGCCTCCGCAGCTCCGTGCCCCGCAACTCGGTCCCGGAGAAAGCGAAACAGATTCGAATTTTCACGGAGGTGTGGAAAACACACATAAGGCGAAGGCCCGTGTTGCGGTTTACGGTCCAGTCAACTAAATACGGTCCGACTGACCAGCGATCTTGGCGGTGGTGTACGTTGGTCTTCAACGGAGCGATCACGTTGACTCTAACCAGGTTTTGGTCGATCCCCGGACGTGTGTAATCCCGTCTACACGAGTTCCGCCGCGGTTCACGTTAATCTTAATGGATTAATTTCTTAATTGGTTGCCGAGGTATAATTGAAATGTACCTGGAGAAGAGCGCGAGGGTAGGGGCGAGGTTCTGTGATGAAACTCCGCAACTGCGGAACTCTCTCGGAGTCTCCGTCCGATCCCCGCCCCGGCCCCCGGTTACCTGGGTCTGGATCGGGACGAGTTCGGAACAATGTTTGCGCGAAGCGTGTCGCCTCCGCGCCCGGGAAAAGTTCATCGGTAGATACCTGGAGCCGTAGTTCCGCAGCCTTTGTTACACTTTCTGCATTCCGCGAGGATTTAAGATAAGGAAAACGCGGCCGGGCGCTTTGTTCCGCGAAAGCGGCACCAAGTTTGCTGATTGCGCGGCTAGGCTCGCCGGGAACACTGCGACTTGGATTTTCTTCGGTTTCCGCGTGACACGGAGACACGTTGCACCTTTGCCAGCCTGTCTGCCGGCGACCCGAACAGTTCGCTTCGCCGGGATACTTGTTTCGAAGACTTCGCGAGTCCCTCCGTCGAATTCCGATCGCCCATTCGGCTTTCTCCGACCGTCAAGCAGCTGCTGCGATTGGCTAAACGGAGGCTGTATGTTGCACTTGACCACTCGTCGCTATTTTTGCATCGATTGTACGGGTTGGGTCACCACATATTGCCATCTATTGGGTTGACAAGAAAGTGTTCTCGGTTGTCGCATATAGGGAGCGTTTTAATTGTCATCACAATGGACTGTATCACTTTAATTTTTACGTCAATTAACTCTTATGAAGTATTACGCAAGTGTCGAATTTTTAGAATACTGGGAAATAGGATTTATGCCAATTGATAACTAAGAGGCTGATTTGTGTCCAACTAGAACTAAGATTTTGACCTGAGTAGCGTTAAAGTAATCTCGATCTAAGTTAGATTGGGTTTAAACTAGTCTTGATCTAAGCCAGATTGGGTTTAAACTAGACTTGATCTAAGTCAGTCTGGGTTTAAAATGGTCTTGATCTCTCTCTCTCTCTACTCTCTCTACTCTCTCTCTCTCTCTCTCTCTCTTTCTCTAGGGGGGGGGGGTCAGACTAGGTTTAAATTAGTCTTGAATTAAGTCAGTCCAGGACTAATTTAGTTTGTTTTAGGTAATTTATAGTCCAAATTTATCTTAGGACAATACAAGTAGACCGCATATTTTTTATACAAAACAAAAATTGTCTGCAATAATTGTAAGATGCAGTAGCCACTTAGGAGTCTGTTTTCTCCTTTAATCATTTTACTGAGTTACAAGTTATGCATCATTATTCTTTGACTCTCTTAGTTTATATTAATCATTATCCTACCATTTAACACTGGTTTAGATTAATTTATAAAACTGTTATGTAACTGTTATAATTTCTTCTATCATTAATCGCATTTCGTGCTTCTTTAACGAATCTATTGTTCGATCATCAGTCGACTAATGTGTGTGTACCTTTTCCTGTGTTTCAGGTAGGTCTAGTAAGCAATAAATTGATTTGTGTTCTGTGCACGAAGGGAAAGTACGTGCGAAGATTCTAGACAGTATGATGATGGCAAACCTACCCCCCGTAATGCTGCAACCCCTAACCGACTATGGAATGCTGACTCCTACCCTCGGAATAAAGGTGAGTCGCGATCATTCAGTATCGATTGGCATTCAAGACCATCGAGCAACTTCTTTCTGTATCTTCTTATCATAAAGCGAACGAAAAAAAAACACGTGAAATCGTTTCGAAAAAGAAAAAGAATAGCAAACAAACGGAATCACTGTCAGGCGAACTAACGCTAAAGTCGGTGTCCTCTTGGGTAAGTGTACCAACGTCGTAACAATTTTCTACCTCTCTGCCAGCGAACGATGCAGCGCGGTGTGTAAATGGATGTCCACCTATTTGACTTGTGTAGTGCTTTATTGATGTCACGGCGACAAAGTACCGATGTGACGTATCCGTGCGTGATATATTCAATGTGTTCTCTTGTCTTGTTCTGTTTATGTTCTATTGCCGGAGAAGCATGCTGTCGGAACACAACTTTTTTTACCGCGTGTGCGTGTGTGTATCATCGGGGTGGGGGAGCCAATCGTGGCGTTCCGTTGGTCGACTTCAGCAATAAAGAAACCACTGAAATTCGAACTATAAAGAAAAATTTAAATAAATACTCAGTATCACGTTTCTCCTTAATCGTAACGCGTTTTATTAATATAATTAATATTTTATCGACAAGTTCCATAAAAGTTCTAAAACCGAAGATTTGAGGACTTTTTGATAAATTTCTTCAGAAACCACAATAATCTCGCCAATATAATCTATGGAATTTATTCAGACTAATATAATTCAACAAGTTCTATCAAAATTGTTATTTCAACGATAATTATCGAGTTTCTCTTTTGGACGCATTCAAAAGCCTTCCGGTAAATAATATGTTAAAATCAATATTAATAATAAATATTGAAATGAATATCGATCTCCGTTCGTTCATTATTTTCTTCAGCTTTTTTCATAAAGATCGAAGTAATTTTCGTGGTATTTTAAGAAATTCCGTACCGTTTAATTTTAACAAGTAAATAAATAATTAATTGAATTGAAATAAAAAGAATGTAATATCGCAAATGAACTGAAGGCACGGCAATTGGCTACACCACAGTAACTGGCTCCGCTATCCCACGTGTTCATTACCTGTTTCAAGACGTCTCTTTTTGTACACACACACACATGCGCGCAGACACACATACACATACACATACACAGTACGAAAACGTAGTCCGAGCGGAACGATATTCATTAGCGGAGGTCTTCAACAAGTGTCCCTCCATTCAGCCGGCTTCGTTCTCTCGATCGTTGAATTTTCTAGACGCGGAACGGATACAGGTAACACTTTAATCACTAAATTAAGTGTAAACAAGCCTGTCCGGCGCAGCATTCGCAGCCCTCGCCGTGCTTAATTCCGTGTTGAAGATGAAACACGACGGCGTAGGCGGCGCGCGACCGCCCACGGAGACCTCATGCAGTTATTATGTTGCCCGTGTGCCCGCGATAATCCTGCAAATTTAAAGACTTAATTTAGTTTGGAACTTGACGCGACGACGTCTCGGGGCAGAGACCCGGGAAAGAGAATTCGTTCCCTTGGCCGGCTCTCAGCCGGAGATCTTCCGCATCTGCGTTCCCGCGAAATGCGATCGACGACGCGTCTTCTCGAACGCGTCCGGCACTTCGCGGAGAAGAACTGGCCGATTGTTGCGGAAAATTGGGCAGCTTCTCCTCTCAGCTCATTATTTTTGTTCATTACTTGAAGCTCATGCATTAATCGCTAGAACTAGCAATCAATTAACGGGACTGATGCATTACAGTAAATTCGCCCTAATTGACGCTCAGCTTGGAAACGAAAATGAACAATTTGGGAAGAGGAGATACGATTATTACAGCCTTGCGGCGCGTTTTTATAGCTGTTGACAATCGGTAAATATAAAAGTGCTATATATAGTGCTGAATAATCGTATCTCCTCTTCCCGAATTGTCCATTTTTCGGTACAATCTCAGCGTCAATTAGGGAGAGTCTAATGTATATTATTCTACAGCAATGGCAAGATTGGATTTGTTTAAACTTCGTGCAATTTCTATAATAATATATGCTTGGATTAAGATGTTTATTCAAAAATTTCTTCTAGAAACAGTTTTATAATATCAAACTTTTAATCAAAATAGATTATATTCAGATTCACTTACAAATTACATGAATTCAAAGCGACAGTTCCGATGAATTTTGCGATACGTTCTCGTGCAGCTATTTCTATGCAACTTAGCTTAAATGAAAGCTAGAAGTGTCTACTTTAAGAAAGGGTAGATTAGATTTCGATAGAACGACGAGAACATTTGGAAAAATTAAAAGGAATCGACCTCTGACATCGTGGGGTTTACAAGATTTAAAAGGAAAAGTTCCGATGGATTTTATGATACGTTTCCATAGAGCTATTTCTATGCAACTTGGCTTAAATGGAAGCTAAAAGTGTCTGCTTTAAGATCTGGTAGATTATGTTGGATCTGTGCGATTTTGTCATCAGTTAAATACCGTTTCTCGCGAGGTGGCCCATTAATTCGTTCGTAGAATCAAGGAGCGGATAAACGTGGTTCCGCTGCAACGTTCTCAAGGTCGAAAGCGGACACCATGGTTCGGACAGCAAAAGGTCCAAGGTTATTTTCCTTATCCGGTTCGGATAAGCGAGGTGTTACCGGGGAGCCAGGATGGCGGAGTCAATGGCAGCAATTTGCTGAATCTGTCATCGCCGTTTCCGGAGCCCGTGGCCCCGGGTGTTTTGTTGGCGAACGACGCCGGCCACCTTTTGCGCCCCGTGGCCACCCTTGAAAAGAAGCCGGAGCATTTCGTCGTCGATGAAAACGCCTCCACCTCCGGCGTCCCCTCGGGTATCGCCTTTTATCCGAAGGCTTTGTATCCCACTGACGATCGTCGGAGCCGACGTTTCGGCCACCTCTCTCCGCGCGGACCGCAAGATATTAATTAAAATTCCTCCGGATATACTTGCGAGACTTGCGCGCACGCCGCGCTGTCCGACGATGCGCGCGCTCAGCTAATTTACCCGCGGATGATGCCCCGCGCGAGACGCGCTGACAGCGTCGACGGTTCTTCGGGTCGTTGATCAAACGGAGCCAATTGCTGGATTAAAACAAAAAAAAAAAGAAAGAAAAATAGGTTCGAGGCTTTCAAAAACGATAACCGTTCATCTGGCAAAGCCACGGTTGTTCCGGCAGCGTCGTTGTTTTAACTACTCGAGGCTCTGAGGACTTTTAACAATTATACGGATCCCCGTGATTTTACCCTCGTTCCAGGAGGAATACGATATCGTAGCAGTCGCTGGAACGACCGCTGCCTTCCCGGCGCGATAACCGTTGTCGTTAGCAGAGTTTGTTAAAGTGAAATGCAAAGGAGGCTCCTCTTGCTCGATGGAGAGGCCTGTCTTCGTGGTTGATGGGACTTTCGACTGACTAGGGACTGGTGAAAATCAGGGGAATTGGTGTACACTTTGATCGGATTATTTTTACTGTGCTATTTAGTCAATTGATCTCAGGGCAAACTTGCGGTCAATTCGGATCTAAGTCAAACCCTAAATTGGGATGGATTAGCATCCTAGATCAGGTCTAATTCGGACACTGAACTACGCCTTGTTGTGGAGACCTAGATAGGTTTTGAGTTGGATCTGATTTTAGCCCCAAGATCGATCTCATTTTGGAACAAATTTGCATCAAATTTTAGGTTCTGGTTGAACCAAATTTTAGAGCCGGGTTGAACCATATTTTAGAGTCGGGTTAAATCAAATTCTAGAAGCAGTTCAAACCAAATTTTAGATCCTGGTTGAATCAAATTTTAAATTCAGATTAAATTAAACTTCAGATCCTGTTGAAATCATATTTTAGAACCAGGTTAAACCAAATTTTCCAGCCGAGTTAAACCTATTCTTAGTCCCAGGTTAAATCTAGTTCTGAGCCCAGCTTAAACCTAATCCTGGACTCGGATTAAACCTAGTTTTATATCCAGATTGAACCTAATTTCGGACCCCAGTTTGCACCGATTTTTAGACCCCCGTTTAAGTCCAGATATGGACGGAGATTTAGTTTAATCGATCCCCCATATTGCACGCTACTTCTGCCACAACCCCGCTGCAAATACACGCTTTTCCCTTTTCCCCTGGCCCATTATCTATCAAACAAATCCCAGACGAACGTTTGCACCGCGTGGCGTTCTAAGAAAATCAGTTTATCCCCATGGTTAGTGACTGAATTGTCTAGTTAGTCTGGCGCGTTTCGTCGGACCGGTGCCATGGGAGGAATATTGTTTAAATGAGATTCTCGGGATAGCGAATTTCTGAGGAAGATGTTGATCACGCGCTGTATATTTGATTCCGACGAACATTATTTATGAGCATTCGAAGTTCGACGCCTTGGAGGGATAGCAGCGTGCTGGTCTTGCATAAATTGCAGCTACTTTGTGCCTACAGAGATTATGCGGGAGAGCAGCTTGCGACATCCGCGTGTCTATGGAACAGCTTTATATGCCAGCATTGTCCTGGCGGCGGCGTGACGTGAGCCGTGTGTTCGAAATCGCGTCGTCAAGAGGGAACGTTTCGGAGCCGTGCGATGTTTTTCTTCAGGAATTTTTGGAACGGCACATATCACGCGCGCACGCGCGCGTGAAATTCGAAATTCATTATCGCGAAGCACGGAATTAATTTCCATTTCGCCGGGAAACAAGGCCGGCAAATTTCGAAACGTTCTTGTCCGTCCGCCGCGACAGATCCATTCGGGCGGCGCGCCCCGTCGGCTCCCTTTATTAAACATCTCGCTCCAGCGATTTTCCTGATCTCTTTGCAGCTCGAGCGCGTTTCGAAGGCCGATCCCGCGGGGCCGTGCGAGTTAATACAGATTTCCAGCGAACGTCACCCGGCTATGAAACGCCGCCGCTCGGGAGAAAAAGAGAGAGAGAGAGTTGCTTCGCGAATTAGTCTCGGCTGCGAAAATCATACTGCCTCCTGGCTACCTGAACTGACGCGATAACGAGCCTCGAACAGCCATCAGGTGTATTTTTTTATCTGACGATTCTTCTGATACACCTACCGAAATAATAATAATATACGCTCATCGGGAATATTGTAGCATAGAATAATTTTTGATACAAATTGGCCAACTTTGAGTGGCTGTAACTCCGTGAAAAATCATCGCAGGATGATGACTATCCTCTTAATTTGAAGCTTGAAATCTCTGCTTTAAGATAACCTTTGTCGATTTTAAGTTCATTGCACTCTCGCTTCTGTAGCCATTTAAATCTGAGGCTATGAAAAATTGAAATGTTGTATTGAAGATTGCCAAATTTGACGAAATACACGGAGTTTGCGAAATTTTTGTCGGTGATGCCGTTTATGGTCAAATAAAGTTTGATCCTTTGTGTTTAATTGAAAAAAAGAGAATCCTAGCTGCGATTTTTTTTCGCAAAGTTATAGCACTTTGAAGATAGCCTTGCATTTTCGCCAATAAATACGTGAAAAATCATCATCGAATGCAGGGGTTATTTCAAAGTGCTGTAACTTTGCGAAAAAAAATCACAGCAGAGTTCCTTTTTTTCTGTATTAAAGAGGAAAGATCAGACTTCATTTCTCTGGAAACGGCAACTCTGGCAAAAATTTGACAAAGTCCGTGCATTTCGTCAAACTTGGTGAAATTTTATAGAAATTAAAAAACGAAAGTTATTTTCTGCTTCTACTTTTGTATTTTACATGATTACCCGGCAGTATGAAAAAGAAAATGATAGTTTATTGCTGTCAGCGGTAAAGAACCATCGTTACATTGCGTATAATGTACAGCAGAAACTAAGATGTAAAAATATATAACAATTTAGTGTCGCCGTATAGGCGACGTCCGAGTGCAAACTGTTAACCAAACGCAAATAAAACGTGTCCGAACGGCGGAACGTCTACTTTCGACGATGCTTCTTTGTCGAAAGAACGGAATTGCTGTTGAAAGAATGACGTCGGCTGTTCCCTGTGTTTTCAAGCCTTCCGACAGCAGCCTAACAGAGAGTTAGCTATTACTGCAGGTGCGTTTACGAGTTTGTGCGCGACACACAAGCGGACAATCTAAACACGAATGTCCAGGCGGCCCTCGCCGACCTCGTCTCTTCGTTTGCATACGCAAACAGAGGAATTAGGACCGGACACGACGTCCCCCACGCTCGATCGGGAGTTCCTTTGCCTCCGAGAACACGTTATTGTCGTCTCCGACCGCGTTATTGTCGGTGAAACGCGCCTGGACAATCGACGATATTACACGAAACGCGCGTCGAGTCGGCCGAGCTTCCTCTCCCGCTTCTAACGATGCTCATATTCCTTGGTCCGGACGGCCGTCCGTCCGCTTCCATGTGCCTTTGATTTTTTAACATCGGTGACCTGTCTTGGCCTCGTGTCAAAATTTGCCGTTAGCAAAGACTTTAGTCAAGACCGGGATCTGCGTATGGTTTAAAGCGAGAAGCGTGATTT